AAGGTTGTGAAACCCGGATCTGACATCAAAGCGGAAAAGGAGAAGTTCAAGGTTCATTGGTTCGACCGAGTTGAACTGGGGGTTGAACTGGATGACGAAATAAATATAAAAATTAATTAAATATGATCTAAATTATGTAATAATAATATATTCAATTAATAATACAAATATTTTCTGGCTCGATTTATAAATGAGTCGAACACGAATAAATATTTGTTCGTTCATGTTTGGCTTGCTTGACTTGAAATAAATAAATAAATAAATAATAATATTTATTTATATATTTTTATATGTATTAATGCTAATTTTTTCTTTATATTAAAAAATTATTTGAGTCAGATATTTATAAAAAAATACAAGTTTAGGTGTTGGATATGTAAAAAAATAAGATTGGAGTGGTATGCATGTAAATATTCCTATAAATTAATTTGAGGGGGGTATCAATTCAAATATCAGAAATCAGACAACTGAATTAGGAGTTTCTTTATTTAAATTGCTATTATTAGGAGTTTCTTTATTTAAATTGTTTCCAATCTCTTTCTCTTGATTTACCTCTCTTTTTAATTGTTCATATTCTTTTCTTATAGTTGAATATATTTAAAGTAAGAATATTTATTTGGTTACCTAGAAGAGATTGTACAGATTATTATTTATTGGTATGAAAATGAAGAAAAAAAAAAGCATTCAACCATTTTTCTTAAAAATTGTTAGTTGGTTTATCTTGCCCACAACTAAAGATTATGAGATTCATTTTCTCTACCGAATAGTATGTTCTAACTTGTGTTGCATTGAGGCTTAATGATATGATTAGGGCAGTCAAAATGGCTCGTTGTTCGCGAATAGCTCGTGTTCGGCTTGTTGGAATGGAAAAGCTTTTAGGAAATGACAAAGGCTAAAAAATAACTTATGGAAGAAGCTTCACTCTTATTTAACACTTTAACTTGGCTTGATACAAACTCAAAGACTCCACCCCTATTTATACTAGTGGCACCTCCTAAATTAATGGCTACACCGTGGAATAACTTTACACCGCGAAATAACTGAGTAACATCAGAATAACACCGACCAACACCTGTTGTGTTATCAATATTATTCCGCCTTCCGCAGTTTTATCGGTGTTATTCCACAGTGCTATGTTATCGGTGCTATTCCGCGGTGTTACACCATAGAATGACACCAATAACACCTCGACATAACGGCCCACGCTATTTGGGTGTTACGCAGGTGTTATTGCGGGTGTTATGAGTGTTATTCCGTTGCCCGTGGTAGTATTGGCGCGATTTCAAGGCATTTTATATTCTACCGAGCCGATTTCGAGCCGAACACGAACATGAATATGTTATTCAAGTCGAACATGATCACATTGTTCACGAGCTATTTCGAACGAGCCAAATTGGAAAGAGCCGAACTCAGGCCGAGGCTCAGCTCGCTCAAGCTCGGCTCGTTTACAACCCTAGATATGACTGAATAATGTGAGACCTGTCATCATACTTTATCATCTTTATTGGTGTGATTGTTTATCACTTAGAGCATTTTCATAACGGTTGGAAGAATAGGGATACGCAGATTAATCTTTACTCCTAACCATGCGTGAATAATTTCTACCGGCAGAAAATTTCTTCATTTTCATTAAATGATGTCTTTTGGGTGGTATCTTTTTAGCAGTCTTTGAAACATGGTTTTGCCGTTAACTGACCTTGAATCCGTTGTCTGCAAATAAGCATAAAGCTTCACATTCTTAGACTTCAATATGATATGGATGCTACATTGGCCTTAAGAAAATTATCTACTTTCTACATTTTCGAATTTAAATGAAGGATCTCATCTGTGTATCTTTTACAGAAGCAGAATGGCTGACCAAACTTACACGGTCGTGTATGACGGTGAAACAAGTGTTGATGACAATCCTAAGCCGCTTCCCACGGAGCTTGCGATTGGTATAGATATTGGGACATCTAAATGCACTGTTGCTATCTGGAATGGCTCAAGAGTGGAACTGCTGAGAAACACAAGAAACCAAAAGTTGATTCGTTCTTGTGTCCTATTCAGGGATGAAATCCCTTCAGGAGGAGTGAGCACTGAAGTTCCTCATGGCGACTCAGAAATTCTATCTGGAAGTGCAGTTTTTAACATGAAACGGTTAATTGGAAGAATTGATACAGACCCAGTTGTCAATGCCAGCAAAACTCTCCCCTTCATGGTACAAACTTTGGGCATTGGTGTCAGGCCATTCATTGCTGCACTAGTAAATAATGTTTGGAGGTCCGTCACACCTGAAGAAGTCCTTGCAATCTTCCTACTGGAATTAAAAGCAATGGCGGAACTGCAGCTTAAGAGGCCAATACGAAATGCAGTTCTTACTATTCCAGTCGCATTCAGTAGGTTTCAACTTACTAGAATTGAGCGGGCCTGTGCAATGGCAGGCATAAATGTCTTCAGGTTGATGCCAGAGCCTACTGCTGTTGCACTTTTATATGCACAACAGCAGCAGCAAACCATGCATGAAAACATGGGAAGTGGCATTGAAAAGGTTGCTCTTATATTTAGTATGGGTGCTGGCTATTGTGATATTGCCATAACGGCAACAGCGGGTGGAGTCTCCCAGATTAAGGCATTGCTGGGAATCCCCCTTGGTGGAGAAGATATACTTCAAAATATCCTGCGCTATGTTTTACCAGATTTTGACAGCTTATGCTCAAATAATAGTTTGGAGATGATCAATTCGATGGCAATGCTTAGAATTGCTGCCCAAAATGCAATTCATAAACTTTCCTCCCAAACTAGTGTTGAAATCAATGTGGATTTGGGCGATGGGAACAAAATATCCAGATCGTTGACCCGTGCAGAGTTTGAAGAGGCGAATCATGAGGTGTTTGTGAAGTGTGAGAAGCTGATTGCTCAATGCCTACTTGATGCCAAGTTGACTGCAGAAGACTTGGTTGATGTGATATTAGTTGGTGGGTGTTCAAGCATTCCTAAGATTCGAAGCCTGGTGCTTGGCTTATGTAAGAAGGGAGATTCATACAAGGGAATTGACCCACTGGAGGCTGCTGTCTGTGGTGCTGCTATGGAGGGAGCTATTGCTTCTGGAGCAAGTGATCCGTCGGGTAGTTTGGATTTGCTGACCATTCAGGCGACTCCCATGAGCCTCGGTATTCTTTTGGATGGAGATTGTTTTGCTCCTGTTATTCATAGGAACACACCAGTTCCTGCCAGGAAGGAAATGCTGTTCACTACTACTCATGACAACCAGAGCGAGGCCCTAATTGTAGTATATGAAGGAGAGAGCAAGAAAGCAGAGGAGAACAACCTATTGGGTTACTTCAAGATCACTGGGATCCCTTCGGCGCCAAAGGGCTCTGCTGAGATCTGTGTCTGCATGGATATTGATGCTTCAAATAATCTGAGAGTTTATGCAGGAGCGTTTTTACTTGGTACTAAAAAAGCTGTGTCACCATTCCTGGAGGTGAGGATGCCGACGGTGGATGATGGCCATGGCTGGTGTGGACAAGCTCTGGTTAGGATGTATGGTGCTACCATGGATTTGACCAGTATACCAAAGAAAGTCTAGCAGTCCCCTTTGAACATTTCAGTCCTATTTGCGAGAGTATATTTAGGTGAAGGTAATGTGAATTGCTAGAGTTTGGTTTCTTCTCCATGTCAAGTTTTTGTGGAATGTTTGTGCTGTGTTGTGTTCGTATTTTAAATGAACTTGTTAGTGCTGCATTGGAAATTATAACTTGAATTTGAAGATTTATTTTTACCTGTCAAAACATTTTATTTTCTGATTTATTTTAAATTTATTTACGAAACATTTCGGGTGTTTATGCCAGATATTGAAATGTTCCAAAAACATTGCAAGTTCTCTAAAAGAAATATAAGACAATGATTAAGGCTTTGATATAAGACAATATTGGAAGTTTAGAATATACCAAATTAACATAATTGTTGGCTAATTATAAATCTTAAGCGTGATACTTTGATTCCATGGAGCATCTTGGTGAGAATATTCGAACTTGTATTTTCTTTAGTTTTAAAGTATTTTTTCTGTGTTTCTTTCAGATGAGCAGGAACTAAGTAACTCACTACCTTGAATTAGTAATTTATACAAGTAATACTATCCTTAAATAATGATTGAATTTTTTATCTTATCACATTGATATTTTAATCCTTTTGCCCGTAATTTACTTCTAAGCAGACCATTTAGATTATAAAAATTAATTGTGATCTAATATTATTAGAGTAGCCTGGTAGAATGATTCAGTTAAAGTGCATTACTTTAAGAGAATAAGATTATTGTTGCTAGAGTAGTACAATATCCTAAAGAAACATGAGAGTTTGTGCATGATTGGAGAACTAACTAAAAAAGGAAACACCAATTTTTCTTAAGACCATTGAATGAGGCTAAGGAATATTGTCATTCTTTGTTGTCAACTACAACAGAGTAACATGAATATGGCTAAATTGTTATGTCCAATTCAAGGGAGATCTTCTCACTTAATTAAAACTCTAAAACTTAGTTCGTGGGTTTCAACTCTTTGGAAATATTCGGTTAGTTACTTTAAAAAATTTACCTAACTTTAATTATTCAAGCTAGACTTAAGATAAACATATTATTTAAGTGATATGCATACTTATGTGATTGTCGGTGCTTCACAGCATATCAGACACCAAGTTTTTGGCACTATTGCAGAAGAATGATGTTAACTTTTTATTTTTAAGAAGAATTTAGTTGAACATTTAAGGTTTATACTTGAAACTTGTCGTGTTATTTTTATCATATTTTATTTGTTGTTTTTTGTGTAAGATAAGAAAAAAAAATCATGTTATGTGTTTTCTATTTTATTATTGTACATTTAATCTTATTTTATCTTATATATGCACATGTGTATGAATTTGTGCTTTCTGTTAAATATAGGGTATACATTTGTGTATTCTATGTTTGCATGCATATGAATGAAAATTTTAAATTAAGTGTCTCTAAACTTGAAAGTTAAAAATTGCAAAAAAAAAAAAAAAATCTAAAAATCACAAAACTTAAGAAAAAAAAAAACACTTAGTAATGGTAAACTTATATCTCGAAGAGAATAACATGCCTAGATTAGGGCTGTAAAAAAAGCTCGTTGTTCGCGAACAGTTTGTGTTCGGTT